TATATATATATAATCATGGAAGCTTCAGTAGGCTTGTAACAAATCCTACCTTTTTCATTATTCTTATTTAGCTCTTTAATTATGAAAAAGACTGCTTACCTGAAGCATCTCCCACTTCAAAGTCACTGTCGTCCGAGCTGTCATAATCCAAGACATCTAAGAGGGAGGCAGCGAGGGGCTTCACCTGCCGGCGCTTTAAACTGCGGTCCACTAAAAAGAAGGACAGCGGCAGAGGAGGAAACACAAGGAAACCAAGTTTGAGCAAGCAGGTAATTGGAGCAATCGCAACCACATTAAACCTGTTATTAAAGTGTTGCCTAAAGATGATTACGCCCACACACTATGAGGACATACAGCACCAAATGAATAATATAAAAAACTGTCAAAGTGAGATTAATCAAAGGAATATCAGTTCTGTCCTCTATAAATATATGTATGCAGAGCCTTATCAAAATCTGATCAGTCCAAATATAACTAAAAGCATTGGGGCTGAGGTTGGTCAGCATGTTTTGTGATGATCCATTTACATGTAAATCATTTCAAAACTGTCATTTATTCTTAGATTCATTTTTGAAATGCACGTTGGATTCCACCCACTGATGGCACCCCACAACTCTAGAGATATGTCCCATCAGGCTGTGTTGTGCTTTAATTATAATCCCCATTGTACTTTGTAACACAGAGCGATGACGGACAGGTTACTTATTTTTTGCCTTCTTGGCTTTTGGTTTTTTAACATACAAAAAATAGGGACAGCAACATGTGCACCCCAAAATAAAAAAGAGTTGTAATCTTAGTTAGATTAGTGATATTTAAATATTTTTACAGTCTCAAAACAGTCACTCTTGCACAGGTGAACTACTTGTCCGTGCGACGTGTTTCATATAGTATGGTTTTAGCAAAGATGCTCCATCAACAATCCCTACCAGCATGGGAAACGTGTAGGAGAGAACACGAGCAGCAGCACAACACTTGTTAAAGCTGCACACGCTAAAACAAGAGACACATCATCAGTACACGTCGCTGAGAGCAGTATCTGCCAGTTGAACACGAGTGACGTGCCATCTATGAGTGGCCCACAGCGGGCTGTATCCTAACCAGTGATGGCATGTCAGTAAGAAGCAGTATGGAGCATGAGTGAAATACTCGATTGTTTCTAATATGTCAGTGGAACAGCAGCGGCACACCAACTATTAAGAATCCATGTATGACAGCAAAAAAAAAAGAGCGGCACTCTAATTGTCTTCGTCTTTAGGTTTACCATTACAGTAAACTCCAAAAGGTCTTTGAAAAACTAAATAGCAACTTGAGCAGCACTATACTTAGTTCCATGTTGGAGTTGCTGAATAAAACGCCACCTATATGGTTGTCTTTATAGCAACACGTGCAGCTGAACTGCCCAGAGGAGCTCTCTTTGCATCAGCCCTGGTTTCATGTGAGGGGTTCTGGTTGTGTTCCCTCTTGGAGAAAAGGCCGCACGACGGATGTTTGTTTACATTTTGCTAAACTGTAAACGGACCCCGGTGACTAAATACAGCAGTGAACACAGAAACGCGACACGCAAGTTGAATCGGAATTAGCCCAACAGCTTTAATTATAGACAACTCTGATGCTGAAATTCTGACAAATATGAGATTCATGAACCTCACGTGCACACGGCGTTAGCCGTTAGCAAAGTGTTAGCAAACAAAAAGCACCGCTACCAAAAAAGCTGCAGACTGCTGCAGCAAAGTCGAGCTATTAGAGCCGATAGTGAATCACACAGATTCTCTTTCGCCCAACAGGTTAGTGCGTGCACAGTAATTCCGCCAAACAACCTCACTGACACATTTATCGCAAGATGTATCACCGCCCCACATCCTCGTCTGCCAAGCAACGTAGCTAAATGTGGCTAGGCTAGCTGTGGTCATTCGCGTCAAATTACGGCATTGTTATGCAAACCACTCCCGTCGGCTTCACACAGATACAAGTATGCAAAAAGCATTGAATATTCCGGTTAGCCTAACAATAAAAGACCGAGAAAAGTGCCAAACTGCACAATATTAGCATTAGCATTATTAGCAACACCAAGTGCTAGTCACATAGCACAGCTGGGCTAGCTTAGCCGACTAGCTGATAATTGGGAGTTGAAGGCAACAAATAACGTTGTTAAATCGGAGCGTTGGCAAATCAAACTGAACAAAAACCGTGCTGAATGTTCGAGGGAAAGGACAAGGTGGAAAGCAGCACTCACTTTGTAGTTCGTATTTACTACAAGGAACAAGGCAGGTCTCCTGTTAGCAGCATGTTGTGCGGACAATGGAACACACAGCAGCTGTGACGTAGCCACGACTGGAGGATGTTGCCATGGGGACACATATGGGACAGATGAGGAGGATGGTTACATTACAGAGAAATGAATAAACAAATAATAATCACATTATTTAATAACTGAGTTTACATCATTTGATAAATTAAATGCTGCATTGGTACATGTAATTATTTCTATTTTTGGAAGCACGCATGTACAGCATAAGCATGTACAAAGACAGCCGTCATTACTGTGGAAGACTGGGACCTGAATCCAGAACAGTGTTGCCAGCTGCTGAGACCAATACCACCTCACATTATTGCAGCTTTCTACGCATCATCTCAAATTAAGACAAATTATAAAGCATTCCAAAGAAACCAATTACAAATAATGACAAAAAGAACCAAGACATTTTTTGGCCCCCAAAAAACTGTATAAATTATAAGAACATCTCTTTTATGTTTGGTAACGGTATGGTGGACAGTAAAACACAACCAGTGATAAATTAAAGGGAAACTCGATTTAAAGAGGTACCGCACACAAAAATGTGTTTTTTGAGCTGAACTGAGTCATGTTGGTTTTCAAAAAGCGACTTTTCAAAATGAAACGGATTACTTTTCATCATACTTTGATGAAACACAATTCTAGTGTTAATATTGCCATTTCCTACTGTTGTATTATCTACTGTAAATCAGCCCTGAACCTGCAGTTGACCGTTTAGGACTAATCTATATTATGAAATTCATATTAGAAAAAATGATATCAATGCCTCCTGCTTCACTCACAGCCTCTCTTTTCTTTTTTGTTTCTTTTTTTTGTGCAAATATGCAGTGGATAGAGTTAGGCTCAGACCTGGGTGTGAAGTTACACTGTAAGTGCCTCAGTAAGGTGTTATTCCACCTGGAGCCTCCAGAAAGGTTTTAGTTCTCCTTGTCATAGTTTACCAAAGTGTGTAAAAGTCTACTGGAAGGATTGAACTGCATTCTTCCAAAAGATAGTCCCTCACTTGCTGTTTTGAGGATGGGGGTGTATATTTATTTATATTAATTTATGTACATTTATTTATATTTTATATTGTAACATCTGTTACAAAATATATAAATATGAAAATATTGTGTATTTTGTATTGTTATTGTTGCAGTTGTATAACATTTATTAGAACACAACAGACCCTTTCATTCTGTTTAAATGTTTGGAACAGCTTTATACTAAAATTGCCTGAATTGGTTCTGATTGGATTCGCCTGAGTGCTGAAAATTACCCTGTTTAATTTTCCTTATTTCATTTTCTATTTCATTTTTAATTTGCAATTTTTTCTTCTTGAAAACATTTTTTTTTCTTTTGAAAACTCATGCTCTTACTGTATTCAGACTTTCTTTGGGATTCATGAAGAAACTGAAAAGTTCCTTTCAAAGGATGCTTTTGCATAAAAAAACTCTACTTTGGCTCATTTTCAAAAATGAGTTTTGTTTCTATTGTCCTTCACTGACTTTGCCAGTTTAGCAAATAAGAGACGATTAAAATAAATGAGCTTAGATTGATCCTGATACATGGAAAGGGGAAGACTGATGGTGTAGGAAAGCAAAAGGGATGATTACAACTGTCCTTGCTTAATGACAAATGGCTCTGCATTGTGCTGGAAAGAGGTAGTTTTTTATCAGCTTGTATCAAAACACTTGGGGGATATCACAGTGGCCATCATTGTCATCATCACTATCATCATTTTCATCATTTTCTCTCCTGCACTGATTTGATCAACATTTGGAGGGAATGTGACAAGTGATGTGTCTGATATCACATTGGTCAATGTGATAATGTCAGTGAGGCCAGGTGTAACTTTACCAGAATTCCACTCTCTGAATTACAGCGTTTTACCAAGTAGATCCCAGTTCATACAATTCCTGAGTAGTACAAATGGCTATAGAGCCGTAAAGTAAAGTACACCTCTAAATATTAGGTCAGATGACACATTGAATTCCACAAGATATATTTCTGACCTCCACTTGGCCAAGCATTGAACTGAATTAGAATATGAATATCAATAATTACATGTTAAGCAGCACTTCAGTTTTTTCTCTTTATAAATATTTTTTCAGGCTCTGTGTCAATAACAGCAGCATGTAGATGCTGTGGCCGATAGCTCCTATGAATTTCACTGCAGCTTCTAGTCTTGATTTGATTTTTTTATGTTTACTACTGGAGCACTAATGACATATGACAGAATACATTCATCAACATCTGAAAAGTAAGCGTGAGGATTAAGTGCAGCGGTCTTTGAGACGATCACCGCCCACGGCCGACCAACCAGCCAGACCTGCCAGACCAAACTCCACCAAACTGCCCTGAGGTGAGCGTCTTTTTAGGCTTCAAGTCAATTTTCTTCTGTTTTACGCGTGTAACTACAGTAGTTGTGCCTTAGACTCAGAGTGCTGCAAAAACTCACGTAACCTACAGTCAAAACTGCGCCTGAATGCATCCTGTGTAGATACTGGTGGAGGACCATAGTGTGCTGCTTTCACTGCACAGCCTATGAGTTATAAGTCAATGTGGTCTGGACACTTGAATATGCACGGTAAAAAAAACAGTACAAAGACGTCTTTAAGCTCTTATTGTGATTTTAGTAATTGGACAAATCTGTTTTCAATATTGATCAAAACCAAAACATTTTCCTAACTTTAACCTACCAATAATTTCCCCCAAACCTCCCAAAATGTGTTGGACGCCTGAACCTCACCACAGGTGGAACACAGTATGTGAACCCCAGACTGCAGTGTCAGAATCTTGCTCTTTGTACACCTTTCTATATTTTATGTGCTGTACTCTCAAAACCCTAACTAGTCTGAAAACATTTTTGTCCAGTGAACACAACACAGACAGCAAATATGTATTTGCATCAAGTTTGTTTGCATATAAATGCCATTTTTGGGAGAAAAGCAGTGCATGCTCTCTTCAGCCCTAGTGACTTTGTACTTGGACGGACAAGCCAAACAATACTATTTTTGAGGAACTGAAATCCTGTCAAATGGATGATAGTTTCATTGGTGGTAATAAAATATCAAAACAAAACTAAAATTAAACAGTGTCCATGAAGCTGTACTGCTTTAGAAATAACAGATTGGTGGAGTTGTGCAGGAGTTGAAGATGTGCCTATATGATAATGTTTTAACGAGGTATTTAGGGGTATGAATTGAAAAATCATATCCTGAATGATCACAGTCTACTTTGTATATTGTGATTTGAAAGCACAGAGAGGCTTGAGTCATTTAAACGAGACAAATGAGGTGCACAAACATACTGTAACCATTGAAAATTACCCTCGGCCCATTATGCCGAGTGGTAGAATGAAATGCGGCAGACGATAAAACTAGATGGTTGCAACTTTAAAGGAGCGGTAGGAAAGGCTGTGCAGGCTGAGTGCAGAGAGCTGAGAAAGTGCCCTACCACAGATATCAGTCAGCTTGATGAGCCAGAGGACAGAAGCAATTACATCCAGAGCAAGAATAACACATGGTTTAGGAAATAAAAACATTACTATAAGGACGAACCATGACAAGTAAGGTTTAAAACCTCATTTGAAGAGGAGTAATTGCATTGGATGTTATTTATGAATTCTTAGGTAAAATGTACCAAAATGTCTGTATTGATCTACACGTACAGCCTCCCTCCACTTCAAGAGTTTGCATTTAAATTGGAATATCTATATTCATATGGTGTAAATCATGTGACACAATATTCTTCATTTATCTTTCACGAGACTGCCTTTACATTCCATTCTAGATCTGGAGAAAGTGAATCGTATTACTATACCGGCTGACAGTGCCTGCTGATGTGTTGGAATAAAAATGTTGACTTGTAAGCAATTACTTCTGAGGCGTGCTGAACAAATTATATTTAAAGAAGTGTAATTTTCTAGCTTTCAGTAAAATAAATCTGTTCATGCAATTTGATGAAGATAAAAAGAAATGTTTTTATTTGTTTCTATTTAATACAGTGGTTGATCATGGTTGCTATGGCTCCATCAGGGGCCGTCAGGAGTCCTTGTGGAAGAGGATTCCAATGGATAGGACAATGAGCATTACTTCAAGTGATTGTAGTATCATTGACTCGAAAATGTACTGAAAGATAGTTGGGAGTCTTTTTTGGGGATTTTCTGCCTAGATTAAAACAAGACTAGGGCTGTGTTCAAAATCTCACACTAACATACTGTTCATAGTACACTGAAAAAAAAAAAAGTGACATTTACTTGAAAAAAGCTAGGTAACAATTTGCACTCAGAAATTCAGAGTAATTTTTACTCAGGAATTCTCAAGTTAAGTTTACTTACCAGTAAGAATTGTTTTTTATCCAAAATTTTCAAGTTACTTTTACTTGCAAATGTCTTCCTTAGACATAAAATGTACTTAGGCTTTGATAGTAATCTTTACTCAGGCTACCTTTGCATCTAATTACAAAACCCCAGTAAAACTCAATTAGGTGTTTCATGTATATTTAACTAGCTTTTCTTTACTTTTTCAATTGAGAAATATTAAGTAATATTTACACAATATATCTTTTATCTACTACTACTCTACACAACTGTTCAAATATGAATGTTGTATTTTTTTTAAACTGGGCTACTGTTAATTTAATAAAATTGTCTTAACATAAGGCTTCTACAAAACATCTTCTTTTAAACTACAGCAGCTTTACTTGTTAACTGGTGAAAGAGGTCACTGCTGACAGACACACACAAATACCAACATATATAATCTGGTTGGCATTGCCAGACAAAACATTTCTAAATCAGTGCTGCCAATAAGAAATTTAAGAACACAAACGTTTCGTCATTTAACAAACACTTTTAATTTGAAACGATGGGTATTGCTTGACAACACTTAGATACACATAGATGAAGCCCATGAGCAGAAGGCAAGCCTTTGCCACACTTTGACAGTCATCAAGAACCTCTTTTCCCTCTGACGACGAACACGATTGTCAGGAGTGAAGCCTTTCTGGGTTGCATTTCCATGGATGACAAGGATCTTCATGACAT